TCTAAAGCACATTAAAAAAACAAAACAAAAACCAACTTTATTTTGAATGGAGTGAAGGTTTACAGAGCATATTATCAGTTTTCCAGTCTACAAATCATATACTTGGTTCCATTTCAATGATTGCAATCTCCACAATGTAACATCACTTATTCAGCTTCCTTCCTGACTCTGGGTTCTTCTGAACCTTGTCCTTAGATAAAGGCTGCCCTTTCAATCTTCAATGGTCGCTTGACCATTCCATGGTGAGCATACTTTAGTAGTGTTGTTGGCCTCCCACCTCACCCCGCCCCCAACTGTATACCCATTTACTATTTGGTCAAAAATTGAGCCAGGAAGTTGAATTCAGTTCCAGATCTGAAGAGTGACTGAGGGCCATAATCTTGGGTTCCCCCAGTCTCTTTCTGACCAGTATGCCTGATCTTTTCCACATTTTCTCCCACTCTATCCAATACCTTCTAATATGATCCCTTTCAGAACAGGTGGTATTGGTAGTGGGTATGATCTAGTTCTTCTGATCTCAGGGTTGTGGTAATGGATATTCACATGTCTCATTAGTCCATTGGACTGATTGATTCCAAGCATATTCACAAGGAAAGACCAATAGTTGCACCTGAGATTGCCAGTCAAGAGATTTTAAGATCCTCATAAAGTACCTTTTAACAAGATCCCAAGTAGATTCTCATTCAGTATATCTGGGTGGAAAGGCAAATTCTCAGCAGGGGTTCAAACCAGAAGGAACCAGTTCTAAGTCCTGACTACCATTAAGCATACTTGTGCTACTCAACCCAAGCCACACAGATCATTAGATGGATATGCACAGTATCTTACTTCTAATGCTCACCATTCACCAGCTTGAAGTGATTATGCAACTACCAGACTGTCTTTGTGTAGCAAGCAATTGTCACGCCATCTCTTATGCTTATATAGGTATCCTTGGTTGGTCACCGTCTCCATTAGCATAGACAAACTAGTACAAGCTCCAGTTTGTGTCAATCTTTTGGGAAGTTAGATTTGGGGATGATCTGTGAGATCCAATCTTCCATTACTCCAGTGTCCCAGAAAATGGTCTGCATTTTTCTTATTGCCTAAAGTACTCAGTGTGGCGCTGTGGGCTAATGCATCAGACTGAAAAGTCGTTTGAAATGCAAGGTCATTGGTTCAAGCTCACCAGCTGCTCCTTGGAAAGCCTATACAGGGTTGTTATGGGTTGGAATCGACATGATGGCACTTAACAACAACAACAACAAAGTACTCAGTATAATTATTTACTTTTCCTGAGCACATATTACTGCACTCTTAACCACAGCCAAGTTCTCAGAAACCTCTTTACATTTAATTTTCTGTGCTAATGGCAAAAGGTGATGCAGGTAAATTTATAAAGCACATGCTGACATTTTTTTTTCACACACAGCTACTTCCAACCAGCAGGAGCCCTGGTGACATAGTGAGTTACAAGTTGGGCTGATAACCACCAGGTCAGCAGTCTGAGTCTACCAGCTCCTCCACAGGAGAAAGAGGAGGCTTCTACTCCAATAAGGAATTACAGCCTCAGAAACCCTATACAGGGTACCTTTACAAGGACCCACTCAGTGACACACTACCACCACCACTTCCAACCAATGCCTAGGTCAATGATCAGAGAGGATTTTGATTCCCTAACTCCAACTCTCACTCCCTTTTTTAATAAGTCTCGCTTTTTTTTTAACATTGTGGTATATATAAATCCTGGTGTGGCACTGTGGGATAAAGTACTTTATTGCAAGATCAGTTTGAATCACAAGGTCATTGGTTCAGATTCACTAGCCCTTCCTTGGAAACCCTATATAGGGTCTATGTGAGTTGGAACCAACTCAATAGCACTTAAGAATGACAACAATATATATATGGTGCTGTGGGTTAATGCACAGGCTGCAAAGTCGGTTTGATCCTCAATGTCGGTGGTTTATATACATGTATATATGTATCTATATATAATGCAAAACATTTTCTAATTAAACAATTTTTACATGGATAATTCAGGGACTTTGATTACGTTCATCATGGTGTATAGCCATCTTTACTGTCCTTTTCTAAATGATTTCATAACTGTTAACAAAATTTCAGTGTCCGCCAATCAATGATTGGCTCTTTCCTGGTAACTAATAAGCTTTGTTATCGTTTATTTGTCTATTTAAGTGGAATCATAAAGCAACTGTCCCTTAGCAACTGATTTATTTCACTCAGCATAATGCTTTCAAGTTCATCCATATGTTGTTGTTAAGTGCCATCAAATCAGTTCCTACTTAAATTGACCATGTATAGACTGTGAGGAGTGACTGGTGATTCAGCAAAGTGTCAGGGTATAAGATCAACATAAAAATCAGTTGGATTCCTCT